AGAGAACATATGAAATTGTAAACAAGACAGACGAAAGTATCAGTACAATGAATAAAAAGATATAGAAATTTAGGTAAAAGAAATACAATTGAATAAGAAGAAAATGAGATAACCATAAAAGAAAATTAAGAGAAGGGAGAAATAGTGAGAAGTTGGAAAAAGAGTAATAAGATATGAAGTTACATAAGATGAATATGCATATGAAATTGTGTCTGTATGGAAATGTGATAACCCGGAACCATGCTGTACTCAAATAAGATGTTTTATTTGTTTTGTTAAAACTCAATAAAACTTTATTTTAAAAAAAGAAAGAGTACTGGGCCTAAGATGGAACCTTGTGGCATCCCACTGCTTCCTTCCTTCCATGTAGACTTAGACCCATTAAGGACTATTTGTTGAGTACGGTTTGCCAGCCAGTTGCAAGTCCATCTAGTGGTGGTGCTATTGATTCCACTTTTTTCTAGTTATTAAGAAGTAGGTTGTGGTCTACTTTGTCAAATGCCTTGCTGAAATCTAAATATATTATGTCCACAGTATTTTGCTGGTCTACTAATTTAGTTACTGTGTTGAAGAATGAAATAAGATTGGTTTGGCATGATCTCCCATGCTGACTGCTAGTTATTATTTTACTTGTTTCTAGATGTTGGTAGATCTGTTTTTTTTTTTATTATCTTTTCCAGTTTTTTCCCAGGTATTGATGTTAGGCTGATTGGTCTATAGTTTCCTGGGTCTGTTTTTTTTCCTTTTTTGAAGATGGGAACCACATCAGCTTTTTTCCAGTCCTCTGGTAGTTCCCCGGTGTTCTAGGATTTTTGAAACATATGGTGCAGTGGTGCTGAGATACATCTCTGCCAGCTCCTTTAAAACTCTGGGATATAATTCATCAGGCCCTGGTGATTTGTTTTCATCAAGATCAGACAGGTGTTCTCTTACTATTTTTTTTTTTTGCTTATTTTAACTTTTATTTCTGGTCTGTCTTTTACAGTTATGTTTTTGGTAGGTTGAGCTATAGTTTCTTTTTGCGTGAAGACAGATGCAAAGAATGAGTTAAGCAGTTCTGCTTTCTCTCTGTTGCCTGTTACTTCCTTGCCATCTTCTCTCTTTAGTGGACCGACTGTTTCCTTGATTTTTTTCTTGTTATTTATATGTTGGAAGAAACTTTTTTTATTATCTTTGACTTTTGTTGTAAGTCTTTGTTTGTTCTGAGCCTTTGCTATCCTGACTTCGTCTTTGCAGATTCTGGCTATCTGCTGATATTCTGCCTTAGTTGCATGTCCTTCTTTCTATTTTTTGTACTTGTCTTTTTTTCTTTCAATTTGCCAAAGAGATCTTTGTGCAGCCATGCTGGTTTCTTCTTGGATTTCTTGTTTTTCTTTCTCAGTGGTATTGTGCTGGTCTGGGCTTCCATGATCATACTTTTTAGAGTTTCCCAAGATTCTTGAGTTGTTTTGCCCTTTAGGATTTTCATCCATGGAATCTTTCCCAAGTTCTTTGAGTTTATTGAAATCAGCTCTTTAAAAATCCAAGACTCTGGTGTCATTATGTTCTGTTGCTTGTGTTTGTGTTATGTTGAATTCTAGTATGACATGGTCACTTTCACCCAAGGTTCCTGCAGTTTCAACTCCCTCTATCACTTCTCTGTTTGTAAGAATTAAGTCCAGTATGGCTGTCCCTCTAGTTTCACCCTCTACCTTTTGGACAACAAAGTTGTCAGCTAGGTTGGTTAGGAACTTACTTGATTTCTCACTTGGTGCAGAATTAGTTTTCCAACTGATATCAGGGTAATTGAAGTCTCTCATTACTATTGTGTGTTTCCTGCATATGTTTGTTAGTTGGCTGGCAAAAAGGACATCTATTTTTTCTGCTTGATTGGGTGGCCTATAATATACACCTATGGCCATGACATTCTTTTTTTCTTTTATATTGACCCATATGCATTCTAGGTGGTTTTCATCTTTGGTTTCATGCATTTCTGCAGCAATATAGTGGTCCTTTACATACAGTGCAACTCCACCTCTTTTATGGGGTCTGGTTTTTTGAATAGTTTGTATCCTTCTACCAGTATGTTCCAGTCATGGGTTTCATCCCACCAAGTTTCTGTTATTCCAACTATATCATATTTACCTTCATGTATTCGTAGTTCGAGTTCACCCTTTTGTTCCCCAGACTTTGTGCATTTGTATATAGGCACTTGAGATCTTTGCCTGACACTGTGTTTACTGTCTACATAACCTGTGTTGTGCCTGCCTGCCCCTACTTTCTTGCCACCTGTTTGATTAATGCACATGGTATGGCACTCACTATTAAATGCTTGGTTTTGGTTGGTTTGATTGGTTTGGTTTGATTATCAAGGTTGATAATCTTACCTGCAGAAACATCTATTTTGCATGCACTGGTATCCTTGTTAGTTTTAGGTTGCTGGGGACAGAAATGTTCTGAATCCATCAATTCTCTGTCCCTGCTGTTCAGTTTAAATGTTTATCCAGGAAATCTGTGAATTTAATGCCAAGTAACTCAGTCCCTTTCTTTGATGGATGCAAACCATCTCTTTTGTACAGTTTTTCATTGGACCAGCTGCAGACATCATGACTAATAAAACCAAAGCCTTCCCTTTTACACCACTCCTTTAGCCACACATTAAACTCTACTACATGCTGCCCTTTCCCTTTTTGATCCTTGTATACTGGTAGAACCTCTGGCATTCTTGATTATCTTAAGAATACGCTTGTCTCTGCTGGCAGTAGCACCTGGTAGACACCCGACCTCTTTCAAAACCTCAATATCCTTTCCTAAATTTACATCCCTTACAATTGAGTCACCAACCAGAAAAGGTGGCTTCTGTTTTTGGATGCCTTGCTCTTGTTGTGTGACTGGTGCGTAATACCTGATTCACACTTTCTCCTTTCCAAAGTAAGTTCTTCTTCTAGGACCATGATCCCCGGCTTACTTGAGTTACCATTATCACAACTACCTTAACCTGTCACATTAGTGTCCCTATTAAGGTCAGCAAGGGCACTGTATCTGTTATGCTGGGACACAGCAAAAGCTTTGCCTTTATGGTCCACAGCTCTCACCCTGCCAGATCCCACGGTTGTCCATACTGCCCTTTTCCTGTAGGATCTTTGTGGTCGTGGGGGCTGGTAGCACGGCAGCTCAGTAGATGGCTGGATTGGGCACCTAATTTCTGCTTGGAGAACACAGATTAGAGATTCTAGATAGGTAATCTGTCCATGTAGACTGGTAATTTTTTTACAAAGAGGACAATATCCAAGTTTGAAAAGGGTACTGCAAAAGACAGCTGTAAAACAAGTATTACACTGAACTAAGCCAGTCATTTTGAAATAAAATAAAATCACAATCTCAAGCGCACTTACCTGAAATTTATTATTGGTATTCTTGGTTTATAGTTATATGATTTGCGCGCTGTTAGGTGCGCGGGCTGCTATCTTTCTCCTTTCTACTCACCCTCTGCTTCCTTCACAAGCAGCCAGCAGCTCCTCTCACAACCTCTGGGAATTTGAAATGCATTAAACCATTACCAGTCATCCTGCTTATTTCTATGAAAAAAAACCAACTGAATGGCTAGGACTACCATTAGGAATGTGTGAAGTGGTTTTTTCCAGTTGATTTATTCCTGTTTTCTGTAAAATAATGTGTCAGCCTCCAAGAATCCTTCTTCTGCTTATCTTTCCGGCTGCCATAGAAACAGGGGGAGGGAAGAATAAGTGGACTTCGTGGGGGGAAGAGTGCTGGAGGTCTGAGATGGTGAAATGTAAAAGTTGGGATGTTTTCTTGACTATGCTTACTTGTTTACTGCACAGATGTAACCATCTTGGCATACCAGATGTCTGAAACAACATCTGAAGATGCCCCACATGACATTATACACATCTCAGATTGGATAGCCAGTTTGAATTATTGGGGATGGGAACAAAGGGTAACTTTCTATATGTTATTTTCGTGCCTATTGCTTCAGATCTTGTATCCTTCTGATGCTACCACCAATTTTCAGTAAAAGTCCTTTTCTCTGTAACAATGGAGTCTAAGGTTTTCATTCTTGGATTTTGAATGGAGCGTCACCTGACATAATGTGTAAATAATGGCTTCCTATCTGCAGGCAGGGGGGAAAGGGACATATTGGCAATGAGGCTTAATCAGGAATTGTTAAACTAAAGTGATGCCATTAATTCCCCTTAAAATCAACTAAACCTTTGAAGCAATATTGAATGGATTGTCTTGGCTGAATGAAGTGCCATACCTGTTTAAATGGCTACATAAAAGTAAGCTGTCCTTTTTCTAACCATATAAATTCTTGCTGAAAAAAATTAAAAAATATTATGGATATCTTTTGGACAATTAAAAACCAAAGCAGTATGATGAGATATATAAAAGATGAATAAAGTAGAAAAATTCTAATTTTCCATTGCACAGCACCACCATTTGTGGCTTAACATGCAAGAAAGGCTGACAATAAGTTCAATAAAGAGATCAAAGGATCTATATTTGGAAAAAAAATGCAACACACTTATAAGGATACTCTATTTTAAGATGAAAGATTTAAAGAAACTGCAAATTCTTGCTACATATAAAACCAAAAGCAGAACGTTACATTTTCTTAGTTTATTGGGTTTAGGCAACTGTAGTGCTCAGTATGTTATTTGGAAAATCATGCATGCAGCGCCTCTTAATGTCTTATACATTTTATCTGTAATAATAGTTTTCATTCACAACATTCACAAATCCACATGATAGGAAAATACCCTATTTATAATTAGAAAGAGCATGGTTTTCTTTTATAGTGAATAAAGTTAACAGAATTTCAACAGAGCAGAAGATATAGGTGAAATATACAGTCTTTAAAGAACATATTATTTTTTTAAAAAAAACAGTAAGCTATTATATTAATTCAACTAACCTACCAATTAAGGATTCGCTTTCTCGCACAGGTGATAAACTTTAAAGGTTATCTGTAGAAGCAAATATAACACATGGACACAATGTTAACTATAATAAGCATTTATTTCTCTGCACATTTTCAATCTTCTGTTGACTGACAGCCTACCTTGCTATTCCATGCTATATTGTGAACTTATTTCACATTGAGACCGCACTACACACTTTCTCAAGTTAGAAGCTTGTAAATTCAAGATTACAAAGTCATAACCAAATATTTAATTTTTTCATGTACTCGTAAAAAAAATTAAAATATTTTGTCCTAATTTCCAAGTCTGTAAAATCCGAGAGATTTTAAAGAAATTTACAATAAAAAAGGATGGGAAATAAGAAGTGTACAGAACTAAAGTATACAATAACTGAGAGAAAACATGACAATATGACCGAGACCAGCTCTTTAAAAATTGCATTTGCTTCACACATCTGCCATAAGGAAAAATACATACATATCACAGAGAAACACACATCTCCATCAGATTTTACAAAACAGTGTCTCTTTTCTTCTTAGCCCTCTCTTCCTACACAAACGTTCCAGCTTGATAGTTTCATCAAATAATCAAGTACAGGATTTAATTTTGGCTTGCTATAAGATATTCTATCAATTAAAATTGGGATATATTTATATATGTGAAAGGATACATTTTAATAACATTAAATACAAAAGACATGTATAAAGAAAAGGTTTTGGAGAATTAGAAGGTATTCTTGAATTTTCTAGTAAACAGATTCACCCAAGACCTATGAGTAAGGGAAAATCAGTTATTATTAAAAAGTAGTGCATTTTAAAAATTCAGGATGGCCTCAGAATCCCACCACTCAGACACACACATATTCTGAATCTGTATGCATTGCAGTACATTTTGTGCATTAAACATAATTCATAATTATGATTTTTGACTCTTGACGAATGTATCTTTTCTTTTATGTACACTGAGAGCATTTGCACCAAGACAAATTCCTTGTGTGTCCAATCACACTTGGCCAATAAAGAATTCTATTCTATTCTACAAGGGGTCCAGACTTTAATGAAACCTTTTAGACAATCATCAATTATTTTGGCATAACCAAAATCCATTTTGATTGAATTCACTTATTTCTGGGTACTTTCTACGTAGACATAGATTCACATGAACTACTTAAATATTAAAATTAATTTCACTGCTATCATCCCATTGTAATAACAATGTGAAAGGACATTTACAAGTAAACTGGTAAAAGGATTCTTTTGCACACTGCAATTACACTATTACCTTCCTCACTACAAACTGTGTTTTGACTTGTACTTCAGCAGTGAAAGTATAAGTAAATCATTGAACATTATATTAATTCCACAATCTAGTCTGGGCATTATACAAATATACTGAATTCACACAGCATGGCATGTCCAAAGAACTCCCTGCTCATGGCATAAGATAAGGAAACCTTAAGTTCCTATAAATGTGTCCATTCATTAAAACTCTATAGAAATTTTGATGGTGCTTTCCAATTCCAGAAAAAAAATCTAAGATAAAGTCAGCTTAATACTTGTAAGTATATTCTCACCAACTAAAATCCGGTATACCTCCAAACATGCTATTTATGTTCTGAACTTAAATGAGTACAATTCCCTTTCCTGTAGCAGCAGTTGACTAAGTGCCAAGCAGACGGTTGTTTAAAAAGATAATAAAGTTGTGACCAATACTAAGGAGCAATACTAATGTGATTTAATAGATAAGTTAAAACAGAATACATGAAAGTCTTTGTATCTTCACATATTTTTTCCTCTAGGTAAAAAAAATAACTTCATAATTTTACTCTTAAGTAGGGATACAGAATTCTTACAAGTTCCCTTTTAACCTCTCAGAATCTTATTTGTTATAGTGTAAAAGTCAACTTTAAAAAACTTTAACATGAGCGCTAATTTAATTGTTCTATCTGATTGACTGAATCAAGCTTGATTCCATATAGCTTCTATAAGAATTTTATGGACTAACATCCATTGCATTCAATACATTCCAATTTGAACAGAAATTATATCATATATAATACCAACAGATAAGAGTAAGATATGCACAAATAAAATACGATTCTCCATTTTGTAATCCTTGCAAAATCCAGAGTAATGAGTGTGTAGGAAGTAAAATCTACTGTCCTAGTGATTCATCAGTGTGAAAAAGGAATTCTGATTATTCATAAACTATTTTATTTTTGACTGAACTTCAAACTCAGGATTGCTTTATTTTAGTATCCTAAAGCACTCATAAATAAAATATCCTATTTGTGATTAACACATTCATACAGGTATTAGTAAAATTCAATTTCTGGATTCTCTATGCCATTTCTGGATTCTCTAAACCCTTTAACTGACCAAGGTCACACCAAAATGCAATGTGCAACATTTCAAAAACCACTACTCATACTAATATAAGTTAGTTTACTGATAATGTGCAAATACACTTTATTGGAGAACTCATATTGATTAGTGGTTTTCAGCGTAATCAGAATGAGGGCACAAAGTACCTTCTGTGCTGTAAACATCATGAATTCTTCACATAAGTGAAAGCTGAAAGGCCTAAGAAAGAGGGTGCAAACATTTCTTATGCTATCAATGGCTGAACACAAGTTTTCAAAAAAGAACTTGGAACAGTTCTGCATTTGGTTTATGTCTGCTCCACTGTCAGGCAGTTTCAAGGGAACATAATTTTTAAAAGCATACTTTTACTTTTTAGCTTTAAAATACAAAGTCCTAATGAAAGCATGCACCACTATTTTTTCTGTGTAATATGGTATAATTATTTAATTACCAGTGTTAGCATGACTTGGTGAATGCTATATAAGCAAAAGAGACTATAAAATCACTTCTGATTGTACTCTATAAATAAGATTGTACAGTACTTTTCCCTCCTCACCATGATTCACAATATCAAAACAGCAATTGTGTAGACTTAATTTACCCTGAAAAAAGCAGCATTTCAGATTATCCTTTTCTGTTCTTTGAGTCCCCCTTTTTCAGTAGTTTACAATCTGGAAACATAGGGAGCTCTTGTTTTCCAGCTTGCTCTGGCCAGATTAGCTCTGGTTCTTCACAGTTTGTCTGAATACCTGTAACACTTCACAAAGTAATTGTTCAATGCTTATAAAAATATGCATAAGGACTACTAACAAGCAAATGTAATTCTGGGGGCTAGAACAACAGTAATCACTTGTTTTCCTGCATACATTCTTCAAAGAAAATCCATCTTGGATTCAGAAAACCTTTTCAAACTTTCTTACAACCATGGGATAAGAGTATGTATCCATAAGCTAATCTTTAGTGCAGCATGAATGAAAAAAAGGTTTTTCTCTCAAAAATTGAAAATGATCTGGTTGAGAACTGAAAAATTCCCCCAAATTTTCACCTATGGCTGAGATTTCAAAAGCCCACCTCAGTACAAAGTAGACCTTGATAAATTCAGGCATACCGCGGCATTTCACATTGCTCACAACGATTCAGTGCTGGATGATTCAAGAAAGTACAGCTGTCACAATTCCATGGAGCTCCTTCAAAGTCCTCATCTCTTGGCTGTGATCGCAGAACTTGCTTGGAACTATTTTGATGGTCTATAAAGAATCATTTTTCTTATAAAATATAATACTTCTAAATTTATAAACATCATAGGTCAATAATAACATTAGTGTTAATATTTTATTTGGCATTCATGTATAAGCACACCGTAAGGCCTCTTTGTTTTCTGTACAATAATCGTTGATTTGAGAGAGTGACGTCTGAATTTTCTATACCAGAAGATGAACTAGAATTTGGGTCTCCAGTACTACACTTTAACTACATGTCAAATGCAATATTGTGAAAATAAATTCTGTTCTCCACATGATTTTTGTCTCCAGTAAATAAATATAAATATGCATGTGTATGTGTGTGTATTATGTGTACGTGCGCACACACACACATATAATGTATAATCTTTTCTGCCAAATTTTGTCATTTGATATAGATAGCATGAGATCTACCAGACTGAATTACAATGTCATTCTAACAAGAAAAAATTACTAAGATGTATTTTACCATCCCAAATTATAACTGTTTCTAAGAAATAATGTGTTGAGCTCAAACAATTTATTAATGCCGGTATGGCACATTCTTACTTTAGCCACATAATAACTATTGGGAGCATAGTTATTTATCTATCAAGAATGGTCCAGAACAGCGGTTGCCAAAAATTTTGGTAGGCCGAAGAAATAACCAATTAATCTGAGCTGTGCAGTTCTCTCGACTTCCAGCTCTTCGAAGAACCCAGGAGTCAGGTTCCAGAGATGCACACGCCAACCAGCTCCCACACATGGCGGCAGCAACAACAGTCCCCATCCCCAGTGCCCACTGTTAGCTCTCCCCATTAGTTCTCTAGCTTTGAATTGCTCCCGCCTCTCTTTCCTCCCCACCCCCCCCGCGCCCATGTGCAGGCAGGCAAGGAAAGGGAGATGGAGCCGTGCGCAGCTCTCTGGGGAGGGGAGCAAAGAGAGAGAGCTGGGAGCAACTCAAAGCTAGAGAACTAATGGGTAGAGCTGACAGCGGGCACTGGGGGAGGGGACTATTGTTGCCACTGCTGCCGTGTGTGGGAGCGTGCATCTCAGGGACCTGAGCCAGGAGGCGCAGAAACTGCAAGTGGGAGCATTTGGTGGTTTTTAAGATCTCCTGGAACGCTGTAGATTGGTGTTTTGTAGGTCTCAGTAAAAGAGTGATTTTTGTTTCACCTCCTTCCTCTCCTGGTAATGCGAGAGATGCTTTCTCTCTCTGGTAATGCGAGTGATACTTTCTCCCTCTCTCTCTCTCTTCTCTCTCTCTCCCCCCCTCCCCTGCCCCTAAATAATCACTGGCTGTGGCTGGATTTGGCAGCAAAGTGCCCCCAGTGACACCTTTCCTTGCCTGTCTCCAGGTGAGGCTAGAAGAACCACCTCCCCCCCACCCCAGCTTTTCCTCCGCTGCAGATCCGAGCTCTCTCAATCCTCCACCTGGCATCTGAAAGGCTCTTCTGTCTGTTTGGAAAGTGCAGGTGTGGGGGGGGGAGGCTTCCATCCTGGAATGTTTTGTTATTATTAAGCATTTACATTTTTGTTACAATTAAATAAGTGTGTGTGTGTATAATTTTTATATTAAATATTATTTAAATTATATGTGTGTGTGTGTGTGTGTGTATAATTACATTTATATTTAATATAAAAAATTATATTAAATATATTAGCTTTTTTAAAAAAATCGTATTAGTGGTCCTCGGGATTTAAAAGTATGGATTTGGTGGGTCCTGGGATCCAAAAGGTTGGCGACCCCTGGTCCAGAACATTACTCTGACATGTTACTTATAGGCTGATTTTGATTAAACGTTTATTTTATACTCTAACAAAGTATTTCCTATATTTTACTCTAACTAATTAAAGATTTTGAAAGTACTACACAAAATGGTGCATGGAAAATCATGTATAAATGCCTCTATCTTCTACAGAAGGGTGAACTATTCAATATTTATATATGCACTTTAGATTATATATAATGTACAATCTCCATTCATTTGAACATTGTCAGCAAACTGATTTATAGCAATTACTGTATATTTAATAAATTTTAAACTGCATTATTTTTCTCTCCAAGGATCATAGTTTGTACAATATGACCACATGGCAACAATATTTATACTTCTGTAAACTACTATTTCTATAACTTCTACTCAAATATGAGAGAAATGTAATGTGTGAGGTAGAGAACCTATAAAGCTAAAAATGGCATAGGGCTTGATGCCAGAATTATAGCATCCGGATAACTATGGGACTGCTTGTCTATAGTTATTTCTGCCTGCCCAGTATATTTCAACAGAATAGGTGCACTCTAGGTTCCTACCATTAACTGCTGTCATTCTTGTGGGACTTAGGAAGTGTGCCTTCTCTGGTGTGGCCATAAGAAACATATACATCTAATTTCCTTCCTTCTAATATAAGAATCCCTCTGCAAAAAAATTCTACAAACTACATCTTGAACATTTATGTAGTGACTCACCTTTTTTACATGGCTTTGGTGGCACAACAGGACCAGGCTCTATATTATCATAGAAATTATTCATGGCTTTCAGGTCAAAATTTCCTATTAATAAAAAGCAGAAAATAATGTACTTTGTTCAGAACAAATGTTTAAAAGGTAAAAGAAGTTACTGGTTAAGTGTGCTTTTGACATGAAATGATACTGAAATGAAGCAAACAACAGTGTCGTAAAGTCATATAGCCTTGCTATTCTGGAAGCTGCCAGTATATGACAAAGAATGCTTGCAAATTTTGTCACTTATGATACAGCTAGAATCAGTATTTCCAAATACATTTTAACTAAAGTATCAAAACAATACATCGAGTAAAAAGAAAATAGATCTGGTTATCTTTCTATATGATAGGAAAACACAATAATATTCATAAAATCTCTTAAATTCTTACATAAAGCTCCAAAACAATGCATTTCAGATACAGAAAATCATTGAAAATACCTACCTCTAGACTGAAGGAGGTCAATTTCTTTCTGAGTACAGTCTACATTTATCTGGAGCTGCCTATTCATGCTTCTCAATCTTGTCATCTCCTCAGGCTAGCAGAGAGAATCAAGAATAGAAAATAAGTAAGCTGGTGTATGCATGTATGTATGTATGTATGTATGTATGTATGGTATTCAGCTTTGTTCGGGTATTTTCCCACGTCATTATAGTTGTGCTTTTAAAGTTGTAGCAATGTTTCGGCAGAATCTCATCTGTCATCACCAGGCTTCTGTATTGTGTTCGTCTGTGAGTCAGACTTTTACAGTTGTTTCAGTTTTAAATTTGGGGCTAATCTACTGCTGTGCTAGAATGGTTTTTTCTTCATCCTGATTGGTTGGGAGTCTTGGTCTGTCTTTATTGGTCTTGGAGTTTGCTGTGTTCTGCTTGATTGGTGTTTCTAATATCTTCTGTCTGTTTTGTGGCTTTTTTTGTCTTGGTTGGCTGGCAACATTGTGTTCCTGTATTGGAGGCTTTTAGTGCGGCTTGGCTCCGAATAAATGGACGGCTATCATTTGTTAGGAAGCTAGGTTTCATCTGGGTGCCTGGTTGGGGTGTGTTTGAACTGGAGGTATCAGGGGGGATCTGTTTGTGCCCAGGTGTTTGCCTGGCTTGTGGTGTGGAGATTTTTTTGTTTGTGAGTGCAGGCTTCCAAATAATTGACAGTCTGGTGGAATCATTTCTTCTATTCATGCTTTCAGGTCTTTTTTTCAATCTCTATAGCTTCTCTGATAATTCTGTGGCTGGGGTTTTCTATAGTGGCTAGGGTTTTGGTGCCATTGAAGTTGATGCTATGACCTGTGGCTTTCATGTGTTGGACTAGTGAGGAAGTGTGTTCCAGCTTTTTTATTGCATTTTTGTGTTCATCCAGGCAGGTATTTATTCTTCTATTGGTCTGTCCAATGTATGGGACAAGGCATGATGCACAGGGGACTTCATATATGCCTTGGTTTTCCAGGTCAATTTTATCTTTGGGGTTTCTAAGGATGGCTGCTATTTTTCTGTCTGTTTTGAAGGCAGTCTAGATGTGATGCCTGTGTAGTATCTTACTGATTTATATATATATACATATATGTTTTCTTAAGTTTTTGTGGGTACTTACACGTATGGTATTCAGCTTTGTTCGGGTATTTTCCCACATCATTATAGTTGTGCTTTTAAAGTTGTAGCAACATTTCGGCAGAATCTCATCCGCCATCATCAGGCTTCTGTATTGTGTTCGTCTATGTTCAGACGAACACGACACAGAAGCCTAATGATGGCAGATGAGATTCTGCTGAAACATTGCTACAACTTTAAAAACACAACTATAATGATGTGGGAAAATACCCGAACAAAGCTGAATACCATATATCTATATCTATATCTATATCTATATCTATATCTATATCTATATCTATATCTATCTATCTATCTATCTATCTATCTATCTATCTATCTATCTATCTATAAAATGTTTAAATAATATTTAATATGAAAATTATACACACACAAACACTTATTTAATTATAATAAAAACCTAAATGCTTAATGATAACAAAATAAAACATTCCGGGCTGGAAGCCTCCCCCGACCTGCACCTTCCAAAGAGACAGAAGAGCCTTTCAGATGCCAGGTGGAGAATTGAGAGAACTCAGATCTGCAGCCGAGGAAAAGCTGGGGGGGGAGGGAGGTGGCTCTTCCAGCCTCACCTGGAGACAGGCAAGGAAAGGTGTCCCTAGGGGCACTTTGCTGCCAAACCCAACCACAGCCAGTGATTATTTGGGGGCGGGAGGGAGGGAGGGAGGGAGGGAGGAAGGGAGAGAGAGAGAGAGAGAGAGAGAGAAATGATCTCTCGCATTACCAGGAGAGGAAAGGAGGTGAAACAAAAATCACTCTTTCACCGAGACCTACAAAACACCAATCTACTGCATTTCAGGAGATCTTAAAAACCACCAAACGCTCCCACTTGCAGTTCCCGCGCCTCCCGGCTCAGGTCCCTGAGATGCATGCTCCCACACACGGCGGCGGTGGCAACAATAGTCCCCTCCCCCAGCGCCCGCTGTCAGTTCTCCCCATTAGTTCTCTAGCTTTGAATTGCTCCCGCCTCTCTTTCCTCCCCCCGCGCCCACGTGCAGGCAGGAAAGAAAAGGGAGACGGAGCCATGTGCAGCTCTCTGCTTTTCCAGCCCTCGCTACCCTTCCCAACATCGAAGCCTTGGAAACGCAGGCAAAGCTGCCACAGCGGTAGCGCCCTGAGTTGTTTGCTTCTCACTTCTGCCTCCTTCTCCAGCACCTCCTTCTCTGGGTAGGGCGATTCTTAACTTAACCGAGCATGCTAAGGCAAGAGCTAACAGTGGGCACTGGGGGTGGGGACTGTTGTTGCCGCTGCCGTGAGTGGGAGCTGGTTGGCATGTGCATCTCAGGAACCTGACTCCGGGGTTCCTCGAAGAGCTGGAAGTCAAGAGAACTGCGTGGCCCAGATTAATTGCTTTCGGGGGCCATTTCTTCTGCGGCCCACCAAAAATTTTCCACGGCCCACCGGTTGGCGACCGCTGCTTTAGACAGACAACTTTTGTCTCCACATTAAAAAAAAAAAATCAATGCTCAATTCCAAGAGCCACAAACTAGAAAGGATAGATTAATAGTTTCCTTATCCAATTGAAAATTACTATTTTCAGTGTTTTGTCTATCGATTTATATATTAAAATGGATTCTTCTCATCTTTGTAATACTTATAGGCAGTCCTCAGGTTACAATGGCAATTGGGTTTTGAATTTCCATTGCTAAGCAATGTGGTACAACCTCAAGTCCACATGGGCAGCGAAGCCAGCGATGCAAATAGGTTGTTGGTGGCAGGCTCTTTGGAGCATGAACAGGTTGGCAGAGGCAATGTACAGGCCATTGGAGGTCATGGGCAGGAGTTATGGAGAATGGGTGGCTGCAGGCAGGTCAGCAGGTTTGTGGGCGGTTGCTACAAAGCGCAAGCAGGATGATTTGGGGGAGATGCTTGATGTTGTATTCTCTAGGAGGCTACTTGGGAGAAAAAGCAGCAGGAGTAACTTACTGGAATAACTTGTGACTTTCCCTACCACCTTACCCATTCACTTTGCTTGTGGAGGCTGACAGGAAATGGTGCAAATGACAATCAGGGGAGGCTGCAGTGGCCAGAATTTTGAGAACCAGTCATAAGTACTACTTATTCAGTGCCACCATAACTTTAGTGGTTGCAACCTAAGAACTACCATGTTCCCCCGAAAATAAGACCTGATCTTATTTTCTTTTGGGTTTGAAAATAAGCGCTTGGGTTTATTTTCAGGGAGGTCTTATTTTTTTTGACACGCAGGAGGCAGTGAGCACGGGAGCGAACAGGAGTGGGAATGCAGCTACCATTGGCCCTGCCCTCTCCGTCCCACTGTCTGCTTGCCCACGGCTGCAATGGGCCAAGCTTTTGGCACACCCTCTCTGACTGCTGGCCCAGCTGCTGCTGGGACATTTCTCGCCCTTGTCGAGTGCCGTACTGTCCACAGCTGCCCATGCTGCTGCTGGCCTCGCAGAGCCTCTTCACCTTCCTGGCAGCTCTGCTCTTGGATGCCCTGCTGGGCTACTCCTACCTGGCATGGGGTGAGTCATCCCAGATCAAAAACCTCTGGAGCGCCACTGGCCTGCCAGTGTCCCTTCATGAGTGGCCTGTGTAGCCATGCTACCTGTGCCACCTCACCCACCACCGAGTAGGCACTGCAAGCTGGCACTCAGTAGCCCAAAGGCAGCAGCAGGTGAGATGGCACAGGCAGCATGGGTCCACTGATGGCTGCTCGCGAAGGGGCCTGACAGGCCAACGGCGCTCTGGTGGTTTTCGAACTGGGATGAGTCATCCCACGCCAGGCAGGAGCAGTCCAGCCAAAAGTAGCACTGCCAGGAGAGCAGAGCCCGTGAGAGGCCAGCAGCAGCATGGGCAGCCGCTTGGCCACTTTAAGACTTGTGAATTTCAATTCCCAGAACTCCCCACAGGCCCCCCATTTTCCTGCTGATCGACCTTTCCTTGAGGAGCCCTACACAGACCATATCCCCAAAATGCTCCCAACAAGACCTCCAGCCTTTTAATCCTGTGCAGGGAAGGCGGAGGTTTGGTCTGAAGCTGCAGCAAAACATTGCACTGGGAGGCCTCGTGACTAACACTGAATTGCACATCTTGCTCTAGTGAGAGGGGTGCAGGCTGTGTGCTTGGCGGCCAGGGAAGATGGGATTTGGGGGTACAAAGAAGGGACGATCTCCCCCTTCCTCCTCCACCCTGCTGCAGGGCCATCACAGAGCTTGTGCAAGGCAGTGTGACTGCTGGCAAAGGGGACCTTGGCAGGCCGGCGGCAGAGATGCTCTGGAGATCTGGGCCAAGTTGCCCCACAGGCAGAAGTAGCCCAGCAGGGCTGCTTAGAGCAGCACAGCCAGGAAGGCGAGACCACCAGCAGCAGCAGCAGGTGCAACAGGCCCAGCAGCCAGGCAGAGGCGGGGGGAGAGGAGCCATGCACCGCATGGCTTTCTGCCTCATCATAGCAGCAGCTTGAAAAAAACCGAGCTCCAGGCCTGGCAGAACATAAACTGTGGTTGCCGCCTGCTCCAGAGTCACCCTCAGCTGCAAGGTTGCTTGGCGTGGAGGCAGGGCTGGGGCTGGCAAGAGTGCACTGGAAACACCTCCAGGCACCCAAAGAGACAGAATGAGGCAGCTCCTGGCCCTCACTGGCTCAGCTGATCCACAGGGCTGCAATTAAGGGGCCGAGCCTCCATGAGGTGACCGGGGAAGGGCTTATATTAGGCCCATCCAAAAAAATCAGGCTAGGGCTCATTTTCAGGGTAGATCGTATTTTACCTGAAGTTACAAAATACTGCTGACATGCCTTTTCAGAACAACTCCAAACCAACAACAAACACTTGATTTGTATTACAGAATTTGGAAGATTATAAAGGATAGGAGGCAAATAAAAGAACATGTTATAACGAGCTGCTGAAACAACTCAACCGAGACTTACATATTGGATGAAAAATGATGAATTTAATATATAATGAATTATTCATACTGTCAATTGAAGAACAATTTTATTTTGATATAATTATAGAAAAATTGCTTACTGTTGGGATTGAGGTTGTACAGCTCACTCTTCTCAGACGCCTTTGCATGAGATCATGTTCCATATTATTTACTTCACCTTTAAGTTTCTCAAGTTCTTCATTCTCAAATTTCAGCTCCTTTGCTAACCTCTCCATCCTTGCACGTTGATGTAACAGCAAAGCTAGTGAATTACAAATAATATGCATAAAATTAAGAAATCCAACTTTTAACTTCAGAAGTACAAACAAATGACCTTTTCAAAAACAGAATGCAATCAAATGCTGAGATACAAATACTTCATGAGAAAGGAACAAGAGCTATACACATAATATTCCTCCATAAGGAAGTTCATTATTTTACATACTCATGAAGATAAGGTAATTTCACTTAATGCTAATAGGGACCTGAATTTTGATCACTAAGTAATGCAGTTGTAAAGTGTGATATCACATGACTGTGCAGCTTACTGATAGCAGTTCCAAAAGTCCCCAGTTAAACAAATCACTGTGGATCATTAAGTGAGGACTTTCCCTGACAGTGAATTCAGATCTCCCGATGGCTTTCTCATTGACTTTGCTTGTGGAAAGCTATAAAGGAAAATTGCAAATCACAATCACATGATTGAAGGATGCAAATCACAATCACATGATTGGTCAGAAATGTGGCAGGTTGCCAAGCACTTGTATCACAACGACATGAACACAGGAACATGGCAACAGCTGGAACTTGGAGGAGTTGTCATAAGTACCAATTGCTAAGAACCAATGTTTCATTGCTGAAAGAATGGTTGTTAACCAAAGGCCACCTGTATTATCAGTTCAGGGACTTGGCTCATTTTTGTTCATTAGACCGTCAATAAAGAACAAGCTATACGTGAAGGAACCTTAATAGATGAACTACAATGTAGTCTGAAAAACTCTTGACTGATAAATAACCAGCTATTAAGGGAATGTTACAGTAAGTCCTTTAGAAAAACAGCTTCTTTCCAGATCACAAAATTAGTGCTCAGGTTAAATCCAAGGAATTCCAATAACCAGAAACAGGAGCAAAGTATTGACAGCTTTATCTTTTGTTTTAGAATAAAGATTCAACTTTGAATCTTAACAATTTTCTTCATTCATGAATTTGTATTTTTTCCTTTGGAGAAAAAAGGAGTTAGGTACTTTAATATATAAGGTACTGTAACAGATTAATAGAGTTGGAAAGGACCTTGTAGATCATCTAGTCCAACCCCCCCCCCCCCCCGCAAACAGGAGACCCTAGCCCATTTCTGATAAATGGCAGTCCAGTTTCTTGAAAACCTCTAATGAAGCTCCCACAATTTCTGAGGGCAAGCTGTTACACTGGTTGATAGTTCTGTCAGAAAATTTCTCCTTATTTCTAGGTTGAATCCCTCCTTGATCAGTTTCCATCCATTATTCCTCTGGACCAGTGGTTCCCAAAGTGGGCAGTACTGCCCACTGGGGGGCAGTGGGATGCCTTAGGGGGGTGCTAAGACGGAAGGGGGCCAGCAGGGGGACGTTCGAGGTGCCGGCCCCACAGGCTCACTGACTGCCGGCCACACAGCCCATTGACTGTTTCATCGCTCCATAGCTGGTGCCTCGAATACGGAACCTGCGTGCGGTGAGACTTGCCAAGCCGGGGGGGGGGGGGAAGAGGGGGGGGAGGTGGCGAAAAGGGGGTGCCTTAGCTTTCAGGCTGCCCTCTCCAGTGGAAGCGGCAGAGGCGCACCAGAAGCCCCGAAAGCAAAATCCTCCCAAGGCGTGCAGTGGAAGCAGTGGGTGGTCCGGCATTAGGGCCCCCTTCCCCGGAGAACAAGGGAGCACGCAGCGCCCGCCCAGCCTCCTCCTCTCCAGCCAGCCGGGCTTGCGTGCAGGATGCGGGTGGGTGCAGCTGCAGCTCTCCAAGGTGCGTGGCTTGGTTCGGTTCAGCTCTATGTGGCCGTCCCAGACCTAGAACCTAGCCTCCCTCTGCAGCCTGGTTCTTCCGACCCAGCCCTGCGCTTGCTTGCTTGGTTTCCAAGTGATCATTCCCTCCACCTCCGCTGGTCTGGGCTGCTTCCGCATGCCTTCCTCCTCCTGGGCGAAGTATAAAGATGGGCGGAATGCTTCCCCGAAGTTGGGAGTCTCTGAGTGTGTGCCGCCCCTTGCTTGGCCCGATGGAAGTGGACCTTGGGTTGAAGCAAAGAGGGTGAAGTTGGCCGCATCACTGCCCCGGAGGGGTTGGCATTGCAAAATTGGATGCCAAAGAAAGAACTGGGGCAGGGGGCAGAGGGGCAGCTGCATTAAGGAGCAGGAAGATCTTAGCCATGGTTTATTGATTAAGCCAGAATCAAACAGCATGCTAAACTCTAAACAACTATTTTTGCAATATTATATATTTTATTATGTTGTAATGTGATGATGCTATACTATGCTGGTTAGGTTAAGTTAGATTATACTTTTATCACCATATCACAGTGATCCAGCAGGTCCATCCCATCACCATTTTTACTGCTGCAGAATTCAAAGTGGTAAATGAAATAAGTGTGTTTCTTTCATCTTGAGAGAAAATCACAGGCATGATTTGTTAACCTATGCTTATTAACTTATACAGTTGGAGGGATATTTGTATTTGGGGAGACAGCTATTTAAGATGAACCATAGTTCAAATGATTTGATTCTTGGGAAACATTTTGAAAATTATTAAGCAAAAAACATATCAATCTTACCTTGAGTATAAGCATAGTCATCTGATCCAGAGCTGGAACTTCTCTGGTACTTATGCCTTCCTCTTTCACCCCCAGATCCTGGTACAACTGAAATGGGCTGAATAGGTTCTGGTGCTGCAGAATGTTCTTCTTGGTCCACTAAATTTAGAAGATTCTCAGCAGGAGCTCGGCCTACTGTGATTTTAAAAATTGCTGGATTTGGCTGAGATACCATTACACGGGGGGACTGTGTAAGAATACCTGAAGGTCTGACTGGTTGTGTATATGTTATATATACAGGATTAACACTATAAGGTGGTTTAGGCTGACCTATACTTCTGGAAGAGGAACTTGAAGGAGTTGCAGGTGTATATAGTGGGTGTTGATTCCGTTGGGATGGCTGATTACTAATAGGTGAAGGGCTCCTATTAAGTGTAGTCCCAGGTCTTTGTGGTGGTTCAACAGTAATTTCTATCTTGTTCATGGAGCCTTTAGATAAAGTAGATCCGCTATATGGAAGATAAGACACTGAGTGTCCACTTGGTTTTTGATATGTCTGTGGTGTTTGTTGATATGGATGGGGTAACACAGTTGAAGGACTAGGAGGCATAAATACATGGGAACTTTGATGTCCTAATTGGCTGGGTTGAACTTGATGTTGAGGTGATCCAAAAGGAGAAGGACACTGGGAAGCAGGTGGTGATTGAAAAGGAGACTGAAGAATCTGGGGCTGCTTGGGAGAATACTGAGAAGGCTGATAGCTCTGTTGGTGTGGATAGATAGGTAATGGATGTGAACTATAATGTGGAATTGGACCTGGTGGTGATGAATGCCACTGTGTACTTTGAGTAGGAGTCTGTCGTCCCGAAGAACCTTGAGTTGTCTGTCTAATATAGAGTGATCCAGAACTTCCATAAGGAGTACTTTGAATTTGAGGAAGAATTTGTAAAGCTCTGGGTAAAGGCTGCCCAGAAGGGAGGTTTTGTGAAACTGTAACAGTTATAGGATTTGTGCTGTACCGAGGTATATGCATATATGGAGGAGGAGGACCTTGCATAGTAGAAGTATTCATTCCAGGCTGTATGGGAGAAGATTGCTGAGGTGTCTGTGGAGGAGGAGTAGCTGCATTTCTATTCTGATCATTCATAAAAAAAGGATTGTAGTTTGTAGAAGCTGCTACAACAGCAGGAGCAGAATGTGGTTCTTGGACTAAACAGATCAGCTGTTTGCCTTGGGTGCACTGTGGATCAATATGTCCATCACTTGAACTATGTACCAGTGTACGACCACCATTAAGCTGAGGTCCATCCACTCCATAGTTAGTATGAGGATGGATGCCAAGGTTAATATGCAGAAGACGATTCCTGTTCACTCGGGTGTCATCTGGGCTGTGATACTCCATATATAGATATTTGTTGCTCTCTTGTGCAAGAATTCGACAACAAGCATCAAGACTGTTGTTATTCTAGAAGAAATAATGCATGCTGATGTTCTACATTGTGGAGCAAGTTTTAGAAACTATGGTACAACAATTTGTTTTACTCTTCAGTATTATATTTGCTAAGGTTGTTACTTTAAGTTAAAACTTAAACTTATAATTTTGACTAACTTAAATTTGCTTATGAAAAGTCATATATAAACAAATCTTTGAAGATAAGAAATCTTCCACAAAGACTACAAGCATTATCTGTCAATTACCATCCATATCAGGGGTGTCAAACTCAATTACATTGAGGGACGCACAGCATTATGGTTGCACTCAAAGGGCCAGATGGTGGTCAAAGCTGGGTGGTCAAAGCTGGGTTGCCCATGACTGGGTGTGGCTGATTGGGCATGGCCAGCTGAATGCTGCTCACTGGGCGGGGTTGATTCGGGATGGAGAAGTCACACCAGCTAATTTGACATGGGGACAATTCAGTGCCCCATAAGCCCCTCGCCTCCCAAAACTGCTGGCAGCCAAGTGCGTGCACACACACGTATACACACACACACCATATTCTAAGTTTGGGGACCTTTATCTACAGGGGAAGGAAAGGGCCTTCTCCCCAAGCCCAGTCATGATTGGCAGTTTGCAAGCTATGATGCAGATATAAGTCTCCTAGCTTTAAATGCTGTGTATGTGTATGTGTGTGTATGTGCGTGTGTGCACAGCACTCCAAAGGAGACATTCTTCTCCCAATCCCAGACATAGTTGACATTTCCCTGTCCCGTGCCCCCTCCCAGCAAAGCAGGAGGCAGAGAACGACACTGCTGCATGTGGAAGCGCAGAGGATAAAGCTTGAAGGAAGCAGTTTCCTCCAGGTCCAACTTCTGCCTTGACAGATCTCTGGAGAGCAAGAGGAGGAGGCAAGAAGGGGGCGTTGGTCCTACCTGAATGCTTCTTCTTGGGGAGCCGAAGGGAGAATCCAGGATGGGTAGTCTCTAGTCTCCTAGCTCTGCAGACCGAGTTGAAAAACTGATGACACACCCCCTGGTAACGGTCCCCAGTTCTGAACGATGTTGAAGTGAATTCAGCTGCTTGTCTTCAAGCAGATAGTTCATTGATACTGTGGAAAAAAGGGACATTTCCTCCCTATTCCAACCAGACAGAATACAGGGTGGGACAGGATTCTCCCTTCAGCTCCCTGAGAAGCGTTCAGGTAGGACCAACGCCCCTTCTCCGCTGAGCCAAAGGGAGAACCCAGGATGGGACATACCAAAGCTGGCTGATGGCTATCCTACGGGTGGGAGCTGGATTGGTCGGAGGTCCCCACCTCTACATGCACACCCTGCAGGACTCATTTTCCAAAGGACGCCTCCGGTGAGGCAAAGGAGTCAATTTTGTAATGTCTTATAAATGGGGTCACTGATGACCAGGTCCCAGCTCTACAAATGTCCAGAATAGATGCCTGCGTTGCCCAGGCTGCAGTGGTCGCTACACTTTTGGTTGAGTGCACTGTGATATTCCTGGGCACAGGAAGGCTCTGTAACTCATAGGCCCTTGCAGTGCAGACTCTGAGCCAGTGACCTACTGTGGAAGGTGACACTCTGCAACCTAAAGTTGACGGCTGAAAGGAAACAAACAAGGCTTCCGTCCTCCTAAAGGCAGAAGTTCTTTTAATATAAATACAGAGGGCCCTCCTAACGTTCAAGGTGTGCCATTTTTTCCCTAGTGTATGGGTAGGCTCAGGGCAGAAATTAGGCAAAATCAATTCCTGTGAACGATGGAATAAGGAGTTCACCTTGGGCAGGAAGGTATGGTCCAACCGCAGAACCACCCTGTCTGCATGGAATATGCACAGATCTTTCCTGATGGATAAGGCCGCCAACTCCAAAATATGCCTGGCCGAGGTAATGGCCACCAAGAATGACACCTTGCATTTGAGAGGGCAAAGGCAGACTTCACGTAAGGGTTCAAATGGGGGAGAAGTTAGTGCCTGCAGGACCTTAGGCAAATCCTAGGTAGGGTAGCGGTGGACCACCGGTGGCCTCAGGTTCGTGGCCCCCCAAGGAAGGCTTTCGCCCTAGGGTGTTGGGCCATAGTAGAGCCCTTGACCGAAATCACCGAGGCCAAGGCAGCCACCTGTCTCTTCAAGGTATTGGGGGCGAGACCTCTATCCAACCCATCCTGCAGGAACTCTAATACCTTTGCAACAGAAACAACAGTGGATTCCAGTTGGTGACTAGCGCACCAACTGCAGAAAATCTTCCACATTGCGTTATATATCCTGGTCATGGAAGGTCTTCTGGCCGCCTGGATGGTCTGAATGACCTTTGTGGAAAACTTCTCCCGTTTCAGGATCCCCCGCTCAGGCACCAAATGGTCAACCGAAACCAGGCTGGCTTTGGGTGCTCGATCAGACCCTGGCTGAGGGAGATCTTGTGCAGGAGATTCTCCAGGGTCTGGCGACTGACAGGCCCATCAGGTCAGTGAACCAAGGACACCTGGGCCAGTAAGGGGCTACCAACAGAACTTCCACCCTTTCTATCAGTACTTTCCTGATTGTCCCTGGAATCAGGGGAAGGGGGGGAGGCATACAATAGTCCCTGGGGTCACCTGCACCAGAGAGCATTGACCCCTTCTGCTCCCCAGGCAGGGAATCGAGCAAAGAACCTAGGGAGGTGCATGTTCTCTGGTGATGCAAAGAGATCCAAAATCGGGCAGCCAAAGCGCTCCGTCATCTCCTGGAATAGACTGGGATGCAGTCGCCATTCTGACTGGTCGACTATGGCCCTGCTCAACCAGTGTGCCTGTACATTGGATACTCCTGAGATATGTTCTGCTTGTAGGGACAACAGGTTTCTCTTCACCCACCTGCACAAGAGTTGCTTCCTGCATTAGAGATCTGGAGTGTGTGCCCCCCCTGCCGGTTTATGTGGCCACATTGTCCGTGAGAAGAAGCACATGTCTCCCCACCACCTCTTGCCTTAGATCCTTGAGCGCTAAGTGGGCAGCCCTGAGCTCTAGCCAATTTATGTTTTGCGTGAGCTCCTTTCGTGACCACCTCCCCTGGGTGACCTGGGCTCCCAAGTGGGCCCCCCAACCATAGAGACTGGCATTGGTGGTGATGGTAATCCTCTGGGGTTCCCTGTACAAGCATCCCTGATCCATGGCTCGGGACTTCCACCAATGGAGGGAACAAAGAACTGGCAAGGGGACGTGAACCCTCCTTGGAGAGTCGCCCCTGCTCACCCACTGGTAAGGGAGCAGGAACCACTGAAGGGCTCAGGTGGAACAATCCCGATGCACGATATCATCTTGCCGAGAAGTTGAGACAGCAAGATGATAGGTGCCTCTCAGGAAGACAGGATCAGCAACGTGACTTCCCTGATATTGTCTTGACGCTCCTGTGAGAAAAACCTGTCTGGCCAAGGTGTCTATAATGGCCCCCAAATGCAAGATCCAAGTCAATGGTACTAGGTGGCATTTGTCCAGGTTTATCGAGAACCCATGCTCTCGAAGAATTCTGACTGTCGACATCAGATCATCCTCCGCCTGGAGTCTGGAAGAGGATGCTATCAGGATGTCATCTGGAAGAGGATGCTATCAGGATGTCGTCCAAATAGTATTGGATCCTTATGGGTAAGGTTCTGAGGTGTGCCACTACTGCTGCGAAGAGCTTGGTAAAAGTCCGAGGGGCTGATGACAGGCCGAACGGAAGAGCCCTGTATTAAAAATGGCGGCCACCATAGCAAAACCTCAGGAAATGACAGTGGTTGGGTTGTATGGGCACATGGAGGTAGACCTCTGTCAAGTCTACCGAGGCCAAAAAATCTCCCTCCCGCAGTCCCTCTAGAATGGAGTGGAGGGAGTGCATCTTGAACCTTCGGTAGATTAGATGTCTGCTGAGCCCTTTCAGATTGAGGATGGCTCACCACCACCCCGAGGCCTTTGGAATCACACACAACAGTGAATAGAAACCCTGTCTCTCCTGGTCCACTGGAACCGGCTGGATGGCCCAAATGTCCAGCAGATGGTGGATCACTGATTCCATGAGATCCCTCTTTGAGGGGTCCCTGGAGATGGGGCAGCACACAAAGGCTCTTGGGGGGAGGAGAGAAACTCTAGAGAGAGACCCAACTGTAAGGTTGACAGGATCCAAACGTCCGTTGTGGTCTGTTCCCATCTCTGCCAGAACAGTCCCAGATGGCCCCCTATGGGGGATGAGGCTCAGGCATCACTTGTTGCGCCTGAAGGGTATGTTGGAACCCCTAAAAGACCTTCTGCCCTCTTGCCTCTGACGCCCTCTGGCGACAAAGGCCTGTCTATTGGCCTGAGAGGAGGATCTCTGGAAAAAGGGCCTACTTTGATGGGGAAAGCCTGCCCCAGCTTCCCCCTGTTTAAAGGAGGGCTTCCTGTAATAGGGATGAGACCTGTAATCAAAGTGCCTCCCCTGGGAGGGCAGGATCTTTCACTGGTTTCCGTCAAAAAGGGATCCAAGTCTTCCCCCAAAAGCCTCTCCCTTAAAGGGAGCCGACACCAGCTTCCATTTGGTTCTGACGTCCATCTGCCAATTTCTTAGCCAGAGAAGCCTGTGTGCTGTTATGGAAGAGGCCATGGCTCTGGAAGAAAATTTGGCTGACATGAGGGTGGCATCAGCAGTCAATTGAGCTGCAGCTATAATCTTATTCAGGTCCTGATGCACCCTGAGACCCTCAGGTGGGATTCTGTCCTGTAGCTGCCTCAGTCACCGGAAAGAGTCCCAAGTAAAAAAAGATGTGGTCGTCGATCCTTTGATGGCCCAGGAGTCGGCTTGATGAGCTTTCCGGAGTGCCATCTCCTCCTTCCAGTCCTCTGACTTTAGAACATCCTCTGCATCAGGTGGGATGACAGATGAGGAAGCTAGGACTACCACTGGGCCATCTACCTTTGGCACTTCCATAATGTCCAAAAGGTCTTTGTCCACATTAAATAAGATAGACTCAGACCCACTGGGGTGAGTGTACATCCCAGGGGACTCCCACTGCTTTTTGATCAGGTTCAGA